GGGGGGGGGGGGGGGGCAGATACAATATGATAGGTGATCTTCTGTGACAAGCTATTTAGAAACAAATGAGGTGGTCCTGAAAGAATCAAGCTGGTGTAATGTATCCTGAAAGAATCAAGCTGGTGAGGATTTCCCAATGAAAGTGATAGCCACATTTTTTCTGTTCCCCAGCCATTTGGACCAAAATGAAACCATCTGCCTGTGACTCAGTCTGAAAACCGAGGGATACACCAACTCTTGTAGAAAATGTAAGGCAGTGGTTTCTAAGGAGGGTCACTGACCCCAAATGGGGCTGAAGTATGGTCATGAGCCCCACAGAAATTCAATTATAGCAGGTGGGCCTTAGAGCAGTAGCCGAGAAAAGGATACACAGGGATGGAGGGTGGGGCTTGATATGCAAATTTAAATGAGGACATGATCATCGAAGAAAGACTATTTATGCTGTTTTGAACTGAGCCAACCAGCTTTAGCCAAGATTTTTGGGGAAAACTGAAACTTTTTAATTTAATTACGTTTAAATTGAAAAAAACAATCTGACATATCTTTTTCCCTGGCTGAAGCTGAAAGTCCTGTTCAGGAGCTGAGTTGACAGTATCTCTGGAGCTCCAAACACTAAACTAGTTTAGAGGTGTCTGAAAGGTTTGTATAATTGGAAGAGGCATCAAAACAGCCTGTGCCGTTCCCAAAGATGCCCTAGACTTGTACTCTGTGAACAGACCAAACAGGATTTGCAGAGCTGACCAGCCAACGTAGTCAGTGCCACAAGACTGCAAGTAACACATCCCCAGGTGCTAGGGGGCAAATCCTACATTTGCTGGGCACAGAGAACAACAACCTGATGCCCCCCACAGATGTGTGCGCTCATTATAGCTAAATTTCCATTACATTTATATCAGTAACAAAACTCAGGCCCTCAAAATAATAGTGTTATCTGGCAAGTTTTGTTAGCCTTTTGCTGATCTAATATAACAATATCACTGCTACTGTTGCCCTTTTTGACCTGAGCAATTAGCTAATATTCAGGGCCATGCAGGTTTCTCTATTAAGAGGACAAATTCATGACAGAAACAGACACACAGTTGATGCAATGCTGTTTATTTCCAAAGAATATGCAAAATGCCCTATTTTCCTGAACACAGAAGGAATCAAACAGGTAGACTCACAATTCTAGGCCCCTTTCCTGCCACTGCTCTTTCATAGATTCATAGAAGTAGGGTCGGAAGGGACCTTGTAGATCTTCTAGTCCGACCCCCTGCCCTGGGCAGGAGAGAAAACTGGGCTCAAATGACCCCATCTAGGTAAACGTCAAGCCTCCTCTTAAAGACCCCCAAGGTAGGAGCCAGCACCACTTCCCTTGGAAGTTGGTTCCAGATCCTAGCCACCCTGACTGTGAAGTAGTGCCTCCTGATGTCTAGTCTAAACCTACTCTCTAGCAATTTATGGCCGTTAGTCCTTGTTACTCCAGGAGGTGCTCAGGGGAACAAGGTCTCCCCCAATCCCCGCTGGTCCCCCCTAGTAAGTTTATAGATGGCCAC